CGAGTCATAGCTCCTGGCCCCGCCTCTTCACTGATTGCTACTAGGTCCTCTCTCTCCCTGCTCCATGAGCTTTATCATACCTCGCCTTAAAACTATGTATGGTTCCCGCCTCCACTACTTCACTTTCTAGACTATTCCACGACTTGACTACTCTATGACTGAAGAAATACTTCCTAACATCCCTTTGATTCATCTGAGTCTTCAACTTCCAATTGTGACCTCTTGTGTATGTGTCCCATCTCTGGAACATCCTGTCTTTGTCCACCGTGTCTATTCTGCGCAGTATTTTATATGTCGTTATCATGTCTCCCCTGACCCTCCTGGCCTCCAGTGTCGTCAGGCCGATTTCCCTCAACCTTTCTTCGTACGACAATCCCCGTAGCTCTGGGACTAGTCTTGTTGCAAACCTTTGCACTTTCTCTAATTTCTTGACGTGCTTGACTAGGTGTGGATTCCAAACTGGTGCTGCATACTCCAGTATGGGCCTGACGTAAATGGTATACAGTGTCTTGAACGACTCCTTATTGAGGTATCGGAACGCTATCCGTAGGTTTGCCAGGCGCCCGTATGCTGCAGCAGTTATCTGATTTATGTGCGCCTCAGGAGATATGCTCGGTGTTATACTCACCCCCAGATCTTTTTCCTTGAGTGAGGTTTGCAGTCTTTGGCCATCTAATGTGTGTGTGTGTGTGTGTGTGTGTGTGTGTGTGTGTGTGTGTGTGTGTGTGTGTGTGTGTGTGTGTGTGTGTGTGTGTGTGTGTGTGCGTGTGTGTGTGTGTACTGCTCAATTGTACTCGCCAAATTGTGGTTGTAGGGGTTGAGACTCAGCTCCTAGCCCCGCCCCTTCATTGAATACTACTAGGTTCTCTCTCTCCCTGCTCCATGAGCTTTATCAAACCTCGTCTTAAAGCTATGTATGATTCCTGCCTCCACTACCTCACCTGATGGGCTATTCTACTTCCTGACTACTCTATGACTGAAGAAATACTTCCTAACATCCCTTTGACTCATCTGGTTGTTTAGCTTCCAATTGTGACCCATTGTTTCTGTGTCCCCTCTCTGGAACATCCTGTCTCTGTCCACCTTGTCTATTCCACGCAATATTTTGTATGTCGTTATCATGTCGCCCCTAACCCTCCTGTTCTCCAGTGTCGTCAGACCGATTTCCCTTAACCTTTCTTTGTAAAACATTCCACTTAGCTCTGGAACTAGCCTTGTCGCAAACCTTTGAACTTTCTCTAATTTCTTGACGTGCTTGATCAAGTGTGGATCCCAAACAGGTGCGGCAAACTCCAGTATGGGCCTGACGTACACGGTGTACAGTGTCTTGAACGATTCCTTGGTAAGGTATCGGAATGCTGTTCTCAGGTTTGCCTGGCGCCCATATGCTGCAGCAGTTATCTGGTTGATGTGTGTTTCCGGAGACATGCTCGGTGTTATACTCACCCCAAGATCTTTCTCCCTGAGCGAGGTTTGCAGTCTTTGACCACCTAGCCTATACTCCGTCTGCGGTTTTCTTTGTCCTTCCCCAATCTTCATGACTTTGCATTTGGCGGGATTAAATTCGAGAAGCCATTTGCTGGACCAGGTGTCCAGTCTGTCCAGGTCTCTTTGAAGTCCTGCCTGGTCCTCATCAGATTTAATTCTCCTCATTAACTTCACATCATCACGGTGGCCCGGTGGCCTGGTGGCTAAAGCTCCCGCTTCACACACGGAGGGCCCGGGTTCGATTCCCGGCGGGTGGAAACATTTCGACACGTTTCCTTACACCTGTTGTCCTGTTCACCTAGCAGCAAATAGGTACCTGGGTGTTAGTCGACTGGTGTGGGTCGCATCCTGGGGGACAAGATTAAGGACCCCAATGGAAATAAGTTAGACAGTCCTCGATGACGCACTGACTTTCTTGGGTTATCCTGGGTGGCTAACCCTCCGGGGTTAAAAATCCGAACGAAATCTTATCTTATCTTATCTTAAATCTTATCTAACAGGGACACTTCTGAGTCTAACCCTTCCATCATGTCGTTCCTTGATGTTGGTGAGGGGCTCTTGATTTAGGGAATTGGATCTGTGCTCCAGTTCCCCGAATTAAGCCTGAATGCCTTCCACATCCTCCCCCCCCCCAGGCGCTGTATAATCCTACGGGTTTAGTGCTTCACTTTGATTATAACAATAATAATAATAATAATTTCCATCATGTCATTCACATATACCAGAAATAGCACTGGTCCTAGGACCGACCCCTGTGGGACCCCGCTCGTCACATGTGCCCACTGTGGTACATCATTACGTACTCCCCTATTTGTACTCACCTATTTGTGGTTGCAGGGGTCGATTCATAGCTCCTGGCCCCGCCTCTTCACTGATTGCTACTGGGTCCTCTCTCTCCCTGCTCCATGAGCTTTATCATACCTCGCCTTAAAACTATGTATGGTTCCTGCCTCCACTACGTCACTTTCTAGGCTATTCCACGGCCTGACAACTCTATGACTGAAGAAATACTTCCTAACATCCCTTTGACTCATCTGAGTCTTCAAATTCCAATTGTGACCTCTTGTTTCTTTGTCCCATCTCTGGTACATCCTGTCTTTGTCCACCTTGTCTATTCCGCGCAGTATTTTATATGTCGTTATCATGTCTCCCCGGACCCTCCTGTCCTCCAGTGTCGTCAGGCCGATTTCCATTTATCGTAGTCGGACATTCCCCTTAGCTCAGGGACTAGTCTTGTTGCAAACCTTTGCACTTTCTGTAGTTTCTCTTCGTGCTTAGCTAGGTGTGGGTTGCAAACTTGTGCCGCATACTCCAATAAGGGCCTAACGTCCACAGTGTGTATGTGTGTGTGTGTGTGTGTGTGTGTGTGTGTGTACTCACCTAATTGTACTCACCTAATTGTGGTTGCAGGGGTCGAGACTCAGCTCCTGGCCCCGCCTCTTCACTGATCGCTACTGGATCCTCTCTCTCTCTGCTTCCTGAGCTTTGTCATACCTCTTCTTAAAACTATGTATGTGTGTGTGTGTGTGTGTGTGTGTGTGTGTGTGTGTGTGTGTGTGTGTGTGTGTGTGTCTAAGTGTTTATGTTTGTGTCTATGTGTCTGTCTTTACGCCTGTGCAACCGACGTCTTCAACTGAGGCAGGTGACCTAAAATGGATGAAACTCATTACCATTCACTCCATCACTGTCTTGCCGGAGGCGCACCGATACTTCACTTGGGAACAACAAATATCAGAGTGTAGGCACTGTTCTTCCCTCCTCCAGGACTCATGTTTTGCTAACCAGTTTCCCTGAAAATCCAATTCCATACACCTGCCACAATGCTCCTCCTCTTCACTCTACCATTTGCCTTTACTAAATCTATAAATGCATCGAGAACTGTCTTATGTTTATCTAAATAGTGTTCACTCCTCCTACCCTTCCTGAAGCCTCCTTGTTCATCTACAATCCTGCTCTCCGTCTTATTCATAATTCTTTAATTAGCAACTCTACCATATACCCTTCCAGTTATACTCATCAATGTTATTCACCTATAATTCTTGCAATCTCTTAGTCCTCCATTCCTTTATACAAAGGAATTATGCATGCTCTTTATTGACCCCTAGGTGCCTTACTCTCTTTTATTTCTTTATTGAATAAAATTTCGAGCCACTCCAAAACTATATCTCCACCTACTTTTAACATTTTTGTCGTGATCTAATCACTCCTAGTTGCTGTACACTCTTTTATTTTATCCACTGCCTCCCACACCTCCCCTTGTGGTTTAGCGCTTCTTTTTGATTATAATAATAATCTTCATCACTTAAAGAATGTTATACATCCCTGACCAATGCCTGATATCACTGCCTCCCTCTCTTCTTCAACATTTAACAGTTCCTCAGAATATTCCCACCATTTTACCAATACCTCCAACTCCCCAACTCCCTCCACTCTTTTAACCCTTTATTTTTACTCTCCATGTACTCCTTCCTTATGTCATTTCCTCTTTGTAAAAGCCTCCCAAATGCAAACCTTTTCTTGCTTACCACTCTCAATTCCTCATCATTCCACTAGTTGGTCGTCTTTCCTCCAGCATCCACCCTCCTACATCCACAAACATATGCATCCTGCATACTCTAGCACGGTTTTAACAAATCTATCCCATCCCATACCTTTTAAACTTCCACATTAGCTATGCTCTCAACAGCCTATCCTTCTACCAATATTTACTTATATCTTACCCTAATTACTTCCTTTAGTTTATAAACTTTCACCTCTCTCTTACTCGCTGATGTCGTACTCCATCTTCCTCTAATTCTTACTGTAGCTACAACTAATGTTCTGTTATTGATAATGCCTCTCTATAAACTTGGCCGTCTAGAAGTCTGTCCATCATCCTTTTACCGACCAATGCACGAGACAGCAAACTGTTGTTATTATGCCCTATATCCTACATCGCGTACTTATTTATCCTCTTTTTCTTAAAATATGTTTCACCTGTTACGAAACTTATTTCTATATAAAGTTCGGTCAAAGGCCCCCATTATAGAGTTGTGGATGAGTGGAACAAACTCCCGAGTACAGTTAAAGAGGCCAGAACGTTGTGTAGCTTTAAAAATAGGTTGGATAAATACATGAGTGGATGTGGGTGGGTGTGAGTTGGACCTGATAGCTTGTGCTACCAGGTCGGTTGCCGTGACCTGACCTGACTAAGTTGGGTGCATTGGCTTAAGCCGGTAGGAGACTTGGACCTGCCTCGCATGGGCCAGTAGGCCTTCTGCAGTGTTCCTTCGTTCTTATGTTCTTATGTTCTTATTATCATTTACCCCTGGTATCCTAAACTTTCGTACTACGCCCTCCATAACTGTTTCTCCCAATATATTATTCGGGTTCCCTACTACATTTACTCTCTCATGAGGAGCTAGTGAGATTAGCACTAGTGACCATACAGTCCTGTGTTTCAAATACATTGTGGAAGCGAATGTGGAGTGAGCAGTTATCTTGAATTAATGCATTAATTCAGCTTCAAAGCAGGAGATTTTAAGGGCATGACGCAGTTCCTAAACAGAGTGTCATGGGATAGGAAACTAGATGTAAAGACACCAGATCAAATGAAAGAGCCGAGAGCAGAGGAGAAATTCATACTTCGAGACAGACAAAGCTCAGGTAAGAACAAAATAAACCCATGGTTAACTGAGAGGTTCAAGGAGATATTAAGTACAAGAGCTAGAATAGATAATCAAGGATACCAGAGAATAGATAATCAAGGATAATATTTAAAAACGAAATTGCATAGATAAGAAGAAAGGCTGTATGACAATCTGAGAATGACACAGCATCAAGAGCAAAATTTAAGCCAAAGTTGATGGACAACTCCAGCAGAAAGACAACAGTTGTGAAGTACTACGAAAAAGACTGTTATACGAAGGAGAAAAGTTTACTAAGAATGGTCAGAAAGTCTGTGAGAAGCTGAACAAAAGATTTGTGTCGGTATTTTATGTGGAATCAGGACCAGTACCAGAGAGTTATGAAGGTAGAGTGCAGCAACGAGTACTGGACACAATGCGAACAATGGGAGATGTGATGAAAAGGCTAAGCGAGCTAGATAAGTTGAAAGCAATGGGATCAGACGACATCTCTCCATAGGTTCTGCGAAAGGGAGCAGAGGAACACTGTTAAACACTAACAGTGATTTTCAGCAAGTCAGCTGAAACAGGGCAGCTGCCACAATGACTATGGTCCTTTAAATGGAACAAACAGTTCGCGTGAATCAAAGGCCAGTGTCGCTAATGTACATAGTATGTAATACTATGGAGAAAATTATCTGGAGAACTGGGGAACACCTGGAAAGAAGCGACTCCATAAACAACAACACTCACGGTTTTCGGGATAGCTAATCCTGTTTCATAAATTTATCAGAGTTCTATGAAAACGTAACGGAAATTGGGTAGGAAAGAGTGGGATGGGTGGACTGTATATTTGTTTTATGGCAAGAAGACCTTTGATACAGTACACCACAAGAGAATGTCACGACAGCCACAACGTGGATCATGGAATAATTAACGGGAAGGAAGCAATAAGTTACTGTCAGGAAGGAAGCATCTAAATGTGCAAGTGTGACGACTGTGGTTCCACAAGGGTCAGTATTCGGACCCATAATGTTTCTTCCACATGTTAACATTCCAGGAAATCGAGCCAGAGGTGCCTCTGTTCGCAGATGATGGAAAACTAATGAGGAGAATAAGAACAGGAGTAGACTGCAAGTGGCTCTAGATAAGCTGCATGATTTGCCTGACAAGTAGCTGGTGGAATTTAATCCCAGCAAATGCAAAGTTATGAAAATTATAGAGGAGCAAAGACGTCTAAAAGAGTGTACAGACTCGGAGGACAGAGACAGTAAACTTCCCAGAAGAAGGTTCATAATCCCAAGCATTTAGTAAAGAAGCTGGAAATAGTACATAGGTTTGAAATTCAGTTGGTCCCAGAACTTGGTGACTTAAGAGGAAACGACAATAGCTAACTTTATTACGACTCACAAAATATTGAGTGGAATTAACAGGGTGGAGAAGATAAATCTGTCTCAGGTACATGAGGACACAGCCAGATGTTAAAAACAGGAACGGGGATGCTGGGAAATACTTATTTATTTTAGAATAGTCATGGAATACTTCTTTAGCCATGAAGTGAATAGCACAGTGGTAGAAACAGAATCCATACAGGGCTCAGGCAGCCAGGAGTGTGTGACCTAAGGAGCGGCTGGCAGGGAGACGGGGCCAGGAGCTGACATTCGACCCCTGCAACCACGCTTAAGTGAATACCCACATGCATTCACAGACACAGATACAGACACACAGACACAGACACAGACACACACACACACACAGACACACACACACACACACACACACACACACACACACCACACACACACACACACACACACACACACACACACACACACACACACACACACACACACAAAGTGCAAAGGTTTGCAACAAAGCTAGTTCTGGAGTTCAGGGGTATGTCCTACGAAGAAAGGTTAAGGGACATCTGACTGACGACATTGGAGGACAGGAGTGTCAGGGGAGACATGATAACGACATACAAAATACTGCGTGGAATAGATAAGGTAGACAGAGACAGGTAGTTCCAGACAGGAGACACAGAAACAAGGGATCACAATTGGAAGCTGAAGACTCAGACGAGTCAGACGAATGTTAGGAAGTAATTCTTCAGCCATAGAGTCGTCAGGAAGTGGAATAGCCTAGCAAGCGATAGTAGTGGAGGCAGGAACCATACATAGCTTTAAGACGAGGTATGACAAAGCTCAGGAAGCAGAGAGAGAGAGAGGACCTAGTAGCGATCAGTGAAGTGGCTGGGCGAGGAGCTGAGTCTCGACCCCTGCAACCACAATTAGGTGAATTAGGTGAGTACACACACACACACAACACAAAGAACGACAGCAGCTGAGGGAGAGGACAAAAAAGAGAAAGGATCAAGGAAGGGAGACAAGGATGGAACCAGCAGAGGTCAATCAGAGTAGGACAGTAGCAAGGGCAAGCACACACAGAACCATCCTCAGAACCCCACAACCTATCACACCATCTCAACACAAACTACAATCCATACTCACAGCTTCCACCCAACACCCAGCTATAGAATCCCACAGTATGCTACCAGGTCTCCCACCCTCACAGGCCCCCAAACCACAGTGTTGGAGAGGAAACTGAAGGTATGGTACGCAAACGCTGATGAAATAACAAATAAGTGGGAGGAGTGGCACGAAAGAGTCAAAGAGGCATCACTGGACATCATAGCTCTCACAGAAACCAAGCTTACAGGTATGATAACAGATGCCATCTTCCCAACGGGATACAGATCCTGAGGAAAGACAGAAGGAACAGGGAAGTGGAGGAGTGGCACTGCTGATCAAAAACCGATAGAAGTTTGATGAGCTGGAGAGAGGAGACAGCGGAGAAGGAAGCGATTACATAGCAGGAACGCTTCACTTTGGAGGTTCCAAAGTGGTAATTGCAGTGATGTATAACCCATCACAAAACAGCAGGAGGCCAAGGCAAGAGTATGATGAGAGCAATAGAGCAATAGTTGACACACTGGCTGCAGTGGCCAGAAGAGCTCATGCATGCAGGGCAAAGTTCCTGATCATGGGCGACTTTAACCTCAAGGAAATCGATTGGGAGAAATTGGAGCCACATGGGGGCCAAGATACATGGAGGGCTAAGATGATGGAGGTGGTACTGGAAAACTTCATGTACCAACACATAAGGGACACTACAAGAGAGAGAGGAGAGGATGAACCAGCAAGACTGGGCCTTGAATTCACCTTGAGTAGTGCAGATATTGAGGACATCACATATGAAAGACCCTTTATGGCCAGCGATCATGTGGATTTAAGATTCGAAAACACAGCAGAGATACAAGTGGAGGGGGAAGCAGGAAGGCCAGGGCGAATGAAGCCAAACTACAAGAAGGGGGACTACATGGGAATGAGGAACTTCCTGAACGGGGTTCAGTGGGACAGAGAACTGGCAGGTAAACCAGTTAATGAGATGATGGAATATGTAACAATAATGTGCAAGGAGGCTGAGGAGAGGTTTGTACCCAAGGGTAACAGGAATAATGAAAAAGCCAGGATGAGCCCATGGTTCACACAAAGGTGCAGGGGGCAAAAACCAAGTGTGCTAGGGAATGGAAGGAGTATAGAAGGCAAAGCACCCAGGAGAATAAGGAGAGCAGTCGTAGAGCCAGAAATGAATATGCACAGATAAGAAGGGAGGCCCAACGACAATATGAAAACGACATAGCAGCGAAAGCCAAATCTGACCCGAAACTGTTATACAGTCACATCAGGAGGAAAACAACAGTCAAGGGCCTGGTAATCAGGCTATGGAAGGAAGGAGGAGAGACAACAAGAAAGGACCTTGAAGCATGTGAGGAACTCAACAAGAGATTCAAAGAAGTGTTCACAGAAGACACAGAAGGGGCTCCAGAAAGACGGAGAGGTGGGATTCACCACCAAGTGCTGGGCTCAGTACACACAACCGAGAAAGAAGTGTAGAGGCTTCTGAGTGAGCTAGATACCTCAAAGGCAATGGGGCTGGATAACATCTCTCCATGGGTCTTGAGAGAGGGAGCAGAGGCGCTATGTGTACCCCTAACAACAATATTCAATACATCTATTGAAACAGGGAGATTGCCTGAGGCATGGAAGACAGCAAATGTAGTCCCAGTCTTTAAAAAAGGAGACAGACATGAAGCACTAAACTACAGACCAATGTCACTGACATGTATAGTATGCAAAGTCATGGAGAAGATTATCACGAGAAGAGTGGTGGAACACCTAGGAAGGAATGATCTCATCAACAGCAGCCAACATGGTTTCAGGGACGTGAAATCCTGTGTCACAAACCTACTGGAGTTCTATGACATGGTGACAGCAGAAAGACAAGAGAGAGAGGGATTGGTGGATTGCATTTTCTTGGACTACAAGAAGGCGTTTGACAGAGTTCCACACAAGAGATTGGTGCAAAAACTGGAGGACCAAGCAGGGATAACAGGGAAGGCACTACAATGGATCAGGGAATACTTGTCAGGAAGACAGCAGCGAGTCATGGTACGTGGCGAGGTGTGAGAGTGGGCGTCTGTGACCAGCGGAGTCCCACAGGGGTCAGTCATAGGACCAGTGCTGTTTCTGGTATTTGTGAACGACATGACTGAAGGAATAGACTCGGAAGTGTCCCTGTTTGCAGATGACGTGAAGTTGCTGAAAAGAATTCATTCAATCGATGACCAGGTAGAACTACAAAGGGATCTGGACAGGCTGCAGACCTGGTCCAGCAATTGGCTCCTGGAGTTCAACCCCACCAAGTGCAAAGTCATGAAGATTGGGGAAGGGCAAAGAAGACCGCAGACGGAGTACAGTCTAGGGGGCCAGAGACTACAAACCTCACTCAAGGAATAAGATCTTGGGGTGAGGATAACACCAGGCACATCTGAAGCGCACATCAACCAAATAACTGCTGCAGCACATGGGGCCTAGCAAACCTCAGAACAGCATTCTGACACATTAATAAGGAATCGTTCAGGACCTTGTACACCGTGTACGTTAGGCCCATATTGGAGTATGCGGCACCTAGCCAAGC